ACGTGCGTTTTCGAGAAAACGAAAAGCCGTAGGAATTTCGCCCGAACTAGCCATAGCTCATCTTCGCTCACCGTGGCCATTCGTAATAAGGCGAACGAATAGACGAGTACGAAGCCTAGGCCCGAGCAAATACACGCGGTATATACACCCCTGGGGAGTAATAGAGCGTGGAGCGATGTATGGTTATTGGCCGGTCGGTAGTGGTAGGTAGCGGCATCGATTCTCACGACGAGGGAGTCACAGATCACAGGTCAGGCAAACCGAAACTTGCTCTCTCTCTCATTCTCTTGCTCTCGCTTTCGTTTACTCGCACCCTGCGTACCTACCCGCATAGCACCGCGAAGCGAGCCGGAGAAAGAGAGAATATCTAGCTCGACGCAGAGACCTACCTACACGCACACCCCGCCCTATACCGCATCCGAACATTCGTGAGAGAGCCTGACTAAATACTTTATTAGAGAGTTACAGTTTTCCCTCGCGAGCGTCAAGTCTTTCGCCTCGGCCTATACGTATATATACGTATGTGTACTCTTCCTCCGCCAAGAAAATACATTACATTCGTATATGAGAGTGCGCGCCGCGCCTGTGCTATGTGCCTCGTGCTCTGCATGTCTGCCTGCGTGTCTTGCCTTCCGTCGTACTGTACGGGAATTTTGCCCAGTGGACTAATATTTAAGTCACTTGCGTATCTGCCGTGCTTATTCTCCGATAACGTTCGTAAAACAAGATATAAAAAGGTGCGCACGCCCAAAAAGTTCTTTCTTTCACTTCTCAAGTCAATTTATTCATAAATAGAAAACAGTACCAGTAAAAACTTTTTCATTCCTCAATAACTTATTTCAATGTTTATGTGTTCAACTTGCTTATTTCGTTGATGGGTAGTACATTTTTGTTCGTGAACCATCTAGCGGCTAAACGTCTAAGCTTCGGGTCCATCAGTACATACAAAAGATGCAGATCTCGACGAAGTCAAGAAAGGGTAAACGAGAAAGGGAGCTGTGAATTCCTCCGTAAGTCATCTGTCGAGAATTTGCGATTAGAAGCCTCTGCGCCCTGTGCTCTGGTGGCTTTTTGCAGCACAAAAGACGTTGTCAGTACGGCAAACTAGACAACTCTCTCTCTCTCTCTCTCTCTCTTCCATCGACCACTTGCATAAGGGAACGCACGCGTATGATGCACAAATTCACGACGAGCGATGGAATTCGAAACGTCGAGTCGAGTCCCGTGTGCTAAAGCTCGACCTGTAACTAGATTCTGCTCTCGATTTATGAGTTGCTGCAAGCTACATTTTGTCTCGCTCACTTCGTACGTCTGTAGAATGCAAATGTGTGGAATATTCTCCGGTGTAATTTGGCATATCATTGTCATCGATAACTTACACCTCGTACATCTTTATAATTATAAATTAGTTATAAACATTACTACGTACCTAAATTGAGCTAGAGATGTTACCTGCGAATTTTGGATTTGTCGCAAAGTCAAGAAAGTACAATATGAAAAGGCGAAAGTATTAGAAATAAATATCAAACCTTGTAAGAGTAACATGTGCGCGCACGTGGATGAAAATAAGTCCATGGCAAATTGTCAGCTGCCGCGTGAGAATATGACCCAAAGTGCAGAGAGCAAAAAGGGAAAAGGCCGAGGTAGCAAGATTCGATTTACTTTTCTCGATGAAAAAGAAGATAGAGAAATAAAAGTAGTGGGAGACCAAAAAACTTTTCTACTTTATGAAGTAATACGCGAACGACTTTTCTCTTTCTTCCTCCTCTTTTCTTACACCCCTGTTCTTTTGCTGCTGCTTTTTTTTCTTCTAAATCCTGCTTTTACCAAGTAAAGTATGTTTATCGTCCTCGTGCGAGCTCCAACTTCTCCTCACATATTTATACCTCTTTTTGTTTCTTTATGGTTACGCAAGCTTGATAAAATACATTAGCTTGATACATAAATACGTGGGTGATGCTAGCATTTTTCACTCAAAGATGTGTTTTATAAAAGTAAGGCAGTTGATGTTATTTTCTTTGTCATTCGTTTTTCCAAAACAAATTAATGGCTTCTTTTTGTGAAAGAATGTATTCACTTTATAATACATGAAACTTTATTTTTTCAATAAAAATACCTGTCATGTACACATTTCTTTGAAATGCATCCTTATTTATTATTTTTTACGGAAAAGAATTAAAGCATTAATGATATTTTAGGTGCAATTATAAAACTCGATAAAAACACAATTGCATTAAAAATGAAATACTCTGTATTCTTTTGATCATTCATTTTCATAATAACTTTTATAAAATAAATTAATTCATTCATTTTTTCGAGTACAAAAAATTAGTATAGTAAATGTTCCCGCGCAGAATAACTTCGAGGCATTCATTTTCACGTTGCAACTCTGCTACCTTGGAATTTGTACATTTTACTCGCAACCTGTTGCTACCTTTCTGCTTCTTCTTCCGTCAATTGCGGATGCTGCAGCTTTTTTTTCTTCTTCAGGACAGTCATTTGATTTTTGTCTCTGCTTACAATGATTGACATCTGATATTTCTGTGCACGTCACCATCCATCCATATGTTGGCATTTCTATGTATTTCAAGATCGATTAAACACTGGAATAGTTTTTAAATTGCCAGTTTTAAGTCATCTGCGTTGTCCTTAAAGAGGTTGTTAGTTTTCAAAGCATGTAAATCAGTATACCTCAACAAAAAGACACAAATGTTCATATACCGGAGCATATAAGCAGTAGTTTTCATACTTGTGTATAGGCGAAAGAGAATTTATTGTCTTTGTGTGGTTCCTCGTGCAGTGTCATTAATTAGAGCGACCTGTCGCATAGGTCGTCGTTTTGCCGGCATGACACTGCCACCGAGCGGTGCTGCTGTCTTCCACGAGTTTCCGTCGAGCTATATTTCCAAGTAACCTATGCTAAATAAGTAGATCCTGTGCATTCACCTCTACTGGGTATTTATGTGCGCACAAGGGGAGGATACACTTGCCAAACAGCAGGTGATCACGCACCTGGTAGGATAGTTAGTTGAAAATTCGCAAAACTTGTTCGCTCGCTTGCTTTGACGCGTGTCAACTGGTTGCCTGGTGATTCGGTGGCGCAAATATACACAGCCACATACTGGCATACATGAAACTTCGCTACTGTATAATTACGAGTTTCGACTTCAGCAAAATTTCGTGCAAAAATTTTAAGTTACGTCGAACAGAAACTTATTGAATCATTTTTATGAAATTTAGGAATAACGAAGTGTAAGCTCAAAATATTAATTTACTAATGAAATATTATATATTAAGCATATAGACAAAACTTTGTACATCGAAAATGACCAATGAATGTGCATAAAAAAATTTCAAATTGATGACGTTTGTACTTTTTTTTATGCCTTGCTGTAAAGCCGACACTTTTATGGCGGTACGTGCGTAACCGTAGAAATTACTCGTAACAGAACATTCTTTCTACATCTATATTTCATTTTACGTTTCTTGCATCAGTTATACTACACTCGGCAACAAAATTATCGCAACAAAAAAATTCATCGAAATTTTGTCGATTTTCAAATGCTTCTATCTTGGGCTAGTTTTATCGTATCGACACGCTTTTTTTTTTAATTTCTTGGAAATTTTGTCCTCTTTAAATCCATATAAATTAAGATAAGATTTGAGTCAATGTTGAGTTACCAGTAGTATTTGAGCGTGACCATAAAAATTACTGAAAAAAAATGACTGTTTGAACGTGTACCAGTACCACAGTGATTTTTTCATCGAAATCTAACATACACCATCGCAAAGTGCTCTTTTTAACGAGTAATTTAAAAAAAAAAAGACCTCTCTACGATTTTTTTAACGCCATGTAGGTCGATTTGAAGATACCATTTAAAGTACGTAAAATCCCCCGTTTACCTGAAATCAAGACGATTTTCTGGGCATTATGCGTACATAAACCGTACCTTCAAATCGACCTACATGGCGTTAAAAAAATCGTAGAGAGGTCTTTTTTTTTTTAAATTACTCGTTAAAAAGAGCACTTTGCGATGGTGTATGTTAGATTTCGATAAAAAAATCACTGTGGTACTGGTACACGTTCAAACAGTCTTTTTTTTTCAGTAATTTTTAGGGTCACGCTCAAATACTACTGGTAACTCAACATTGACTCAAATCTTATCTTAATTTATATGGATTTAAAGAGGACAAAATTTCCAAGAAATTAAAAAAAAAAGCGTGTCGATACGATAAATCTAGCCCAAGATAGAAGCATTTGAAAATCGACAAAATTTCGATGAATTTTTTTGTTGCGATAATTTTGTTGCCGAGTGTATAAGTTCCATTTTAATAATGTTCCTGGCAATACAAGTGGAGAGAATAGCTAAAAATGGGTCTATTCCATTGCATTTTTAATATTATTTGTTCTCTAGACAAGCACATTTATCTTGGAAAATGAACATTTTATTCAAATGTTTATTTATATTGTTAACTTTGTTGACAAGAATGTTGCAAGTATTTTCTTTCAGTTAAAAATTTTCAATCCTATAAAAGAAATCGAGTCTTTTGAAAGCACCGAAATTTACATTTGTATTTGCATGTTGTAATTTCGAAGTAGTGTACTAGGTTTATCCTTGATTTATGATCTAGTTTGGTCATAATAGAGGCTTGATATTCGAGCGAAAATAAACGATTGTCCAACTAACTGCAGCAATACATATCTGACATTTTAACTGTATTGCACGCACAGTAAAATACCTTTGGGATTCAAAACCTGAACTAACAGTTTCGCTGCACAATGTAGCGATTACGTTGCGGCGTTTAATATATAATAATACTATTTTGTAAACTATCATTTGAACAAGTCAAGTCGGTCATTTTGATTTGTTATTAATTAAGTTCTTTGAACTTTAATGAACAGCGATATTTACTATACTCGATAGAAAAATAATTGTTTTTAAAAGCGAAACATGAATGATTACAAGCAAGAAATTAATGATTGATTAATTTATTTACAGGGACGTTGCAACCGAGAGAAGCCCCCGTGCAAGTATTTTCATCCACCTCAACATCTGAAAGATCAGCTTCTGATTAATGGACGAAATCACCTGGCACTCAAGAACGCTATAATCCAACAAATGGGCCTGGGTCCTGGCCAACCATTAGTACCTGGTCAAGTGCCCACAGTGGTATGTACGACGTAGCAAGCTGACAGACAAATGGAAGCTTGTATAAATTACTATTACATACACGAGCGACTCTTTTTTTGTTTGTCGGTTTTACACATCTCACAATTTATCGTGGCTTTCAAATATTTATAGTATAAACTATAAAAATCACTATACTATCATTCCATACAAATGCCACGACTATTTTTTCGACTGTTACTTTTTCTATCATTACCACTATTATTACAATACTATTTCTGCTAACCCAATATCCACAGCCTCAATAAATTTACCGTTTATACTCCGTAATGACAATTAAACATTTGTAATTTAAAGTTTTTAAAATTTGCAACAATAATTAATCGATGTTCATTGTTACTTATTAACTATGGTAGATAGTTAAGATTGATTCTTTATAAATTATACAAAACGTTTGACCATGTAGTATTTGATGCAGTGGATAATTTGTAGTTGTTAATTATTCTATTTGAAAATCCACACCAATTGAAAAGTGATCATATACAGCATTAGAAATTGGTATGGATTTTTAAAAAGAAAAAAGTGTTGTAGTTAGCTATTTTAATGGATATTTGCATCTGTTGTTTTTGAAAATTTACTTTCTTTTATTTTTCTTACACGCAGTACATAATTGATTGTACCTTTGCTTCAAGTTCAGCTTTCTAAATCTGTTTTTCTGCATATCTTTAATATTTTTAGTTTAATAGAAAACCTCAAACAATCAATTAATAATGTTCCACAACTTCGGTAATTTATCAATACTGCAACGACGAAATTAATTTTGAGGAATAGCGAAATTTCGCGTGGTGCGTAAATAATAATTCATAATCATACTATCAATCGTTTATCATTGCTACCATTATCAACATTACCTAATTTCTATTTTTTATAAATGTAAACATAACTAATTCAAAGTACTTGCTCTCGTGTGGATAAAAATTAGTTTAATACTTTGAAATCGTGTTACGTGATAATACCGAGTTCATAACACTCGTACGACTTGCCTGTCTGTCTTTTATGTTTGATGCTGTGGTGCACTCGTTCGTGGTTGTGGTTGATTGTTGGTGTGCTCTTTCTCGCTATTGGCAATTACTCGTGATTGGCGGATGTAATAATAGGAGGCCCAACCTCCTGGGCCATCACATCAGCACCTTCAGCAGCAACTCCAGCAGCAACTGCTCGCTACCCACGCTCTTATGGTAACTTGTGGTTTTGGTTTGCCTTAACAGATTTTTTATTTATTTGTTTTTATTCGTATGAAAAGAATGCAATGACTTGTTAGCAAGTAGTAGTGTAGTTGTTTAATAGAAAAAATAGTTTTAAAGAGCTTTTGAGTCTGTGAAATCAAAAATTCGCTAAAAGAAAGTAACCAATATTCTAACAAGTCCTTGCATCGATAGTATACATATTTATTAATAATTAATTCGAGGATTATTTGCCTTTTTTGAAAAATTATTTTTTTGATTAAGCTCTAATTTTTTACAACTACAGTACATATTATTGAGCTCAAATACCAATTGCTATATTGATAATATATTTAGTAATTGATCAGAGTCCAGAGAATAGGCGCTATTTTTACAGTAACTTAATGGCTTTTATAGAAATTTTTTTAGAAATACCTATTTTCTGGCTGTATCGATCGATTACTGAGTAGATTACTTTTTGAAAAAGTATCCATGCTATTAATATGTTGCAATGTTTTTGTTATTAATGTTCAAGTTTTTTTATTGGTATTTTTTATAGAACAGTGGATAGAATTTAATTCATTGTATAATAATTTTTGAGCACCATTATCGATTCTGCTTAGAATTTACTCTTGTCAAAGGACATAATCTTTTTGAGCGTTAATAGTCGAGATCGTGCTTTTTGAGTTGAGTTGTTTGAAACAGTATGTTTTGTAGTTTTTAAAAAGTAACATGTGTCTTGACTATTAAAAGCATGTAACCAAATGGGATAAATAAAACACTTACAATTAAGATATTTATTAGATTTAAGCATGAATCAAAGAAAAACTTTTATTTTATTCCAACTTTTGCATAAACTTTCAGAAAATTTTAGAACAATGTTTTCTTCTAAAGTTTCCAATTTTTGCTTTCGTTGAATATGATTTCCAAATTCACAATTATAATTTAACAACATGAAATGTAAATGTAATAGAGACAGCTTTTATTTTTAATAATGACAATAAGGACAATAATCATTTTAGAACTCGATCGAGTACTAATTTTATGAACACTCGAAATAACTCGCAACAGAAAGAAATACATACTCTGATACATAATTAAGCATATAACTAAAAATTCACTCGAGTTTTGTAATAAAAATCATATGATTTTTGCTACGACTTCGATAGAATTTTTGATATCCTTATTTTTTTATCAGCGTTACAAACGTGAATATAAGCAATAAATATGATGTATTCGATAAAATTTCGATTAATTTGTATTGTAATATATTGAATATAACTAATAATGTAATGATTTTCCCCACCCCTACCGTCCTGTTCCCATCGATTGAATCTGCGTCCGATCGTCCATCTCCTTTGTTTCTGTGTTACAGGCGACGAACCCGTACCTAACCGGCATGCCGCAAGTTGGCAACACATACAGTCCATACTTCGCACCGAGCCCGATCATGCCCACAATCATGGGACCAGGAGATCCAACCGGCGTCGGCAGTCCCCTTGGCGTCGTCCAGCAGACGGTCGCGATGCCGCAGAAGATGCCGCGCACAGACCGGCTCGAGGTATGTCTACCAGCGAACTACATGCGTCAGGTGGCCGCGCACGGTCCACCTCGGGCCCCGGGTCCACCACAGCCAGCCCCACAGCCTCTCTATCAGGCGGCCGCCAACGGTGCGGTTAATCAAGCCCAAGGGCCCCAAAATCGCGTATCGCCCGTGTCGACGCTGCAGTCGCAGTGCACCCACCATAATCCGCAGTCGCCGTCGCCCACCGCGAGCGTCACCACCACCACGACCCTCGCGCCGCCGCCTCAGATGCAACCGACCAGCTCTTGCACCCAGGCGCTCACCTCGGTCTGCGCGCCCATCCACAATCCCGCCCATCCCGGCGCTCTCCACAGTCCCCTTCAGAATCTTGTCTATGTGCACGCCTATGCGTACGAGGGACCGTACGTACCTATTTACGTACGCACGTAGTGAAATAAATCGCTCTTATTATCTCCGTATTGCGCTTCTTTCGATATCAACCGGCAAACTTTTCCAAACTTGAGCTACTAAGGAACGATTTTCAGGACAGTTCAGTTGTTTCGATTCAGTAACTTCTATTGGTATGCTCGAGCACAAGACAATAAAAACAATTTTAATTGACGCTTCAAGTGTCAGACACTTAATTTTTCTAAAACGAAACAATAGTTACGATTTAAATAAACAGAATTTGAAAAATGGGATAAATTTAGCTGTCTTGAAGAAAAGTTGATGGTAAAGCTCAACGACGATTGAATTCATATCGAAAGAGGAATACGCTAAAGTTTATAAAACGATTTTTTCCTACTTTTTTGAAATTATATCTTATACTTGAATCGAGTTACATGATATGCATTATATGTTTTTTATATATATTGTGTGCCTGGATTAATGCGTGACGTTAAGTAACGTTTTGGCAAAACTAAATTTCAGAACAACGATTTCGTGACTATATATTATTTATCCTAAAAAATAAAAAAATTGAAAAAAAAATCTACGGATTGAAACGTGTCATATCGGGAGTTAGTAGAGAAAGCGGAGATTTAGTCAGACGTAGCCTGACAAGATAAAGGGGACCTGTACTATATACGATTCTACGTGAAAGCGGATTTATAACGATGCTCGAGGATAGTTTAATGTGACGGTCATACGTAAAGTCTATTTACATATAAAAGTTTAAAACGTACTTATAAATAATTAGGCATTTTGTAGTTATTACAATTTAGATTACTTGTCTATATATTGAAAAAAAAACGACGTCGGTGTAGGCGATATCGGTGATATGGCTAGTGAATGGCGAATAGAGAGGGAATTCGACGATCACTAAAATATTTTAATTTTAATGATCATCATATATACTAAATATAAATTGTTTAATCGTAACGTAAACTTTTCGGTGGAATACATTCCTTTACACTCGAATACTCGGTCGAGCGACGAAAGCGAACTTGAAGTAAAATTTATACTTATTAGGAAAAAGTAGCGGTAATAAGAATAGCGGATGAAACAAGAGTCGGGCAAAGGAAAATGAGAGTCTATTTTTTAATCGTAGGTTAGTCCATGTTTGTTCGCGACGCGATATACAATTACAACTAAGGTTCGCTCAGATTTTTATCCGGTTCGGTAGCAAGATTTTGTATCTCTTCGACGTACTCATACGCGTGTACATGGATACCTACAGGAAATCATGAGAATTTGTAGAGTTTTCTATAATCGGTAAAAAAAAAACATGTCGAAAATCGCATACGTGGTCCAATAATGATAATATTCTCAAGTTGTATGTAAAAATTGGTAAATAACGAACCGTTTTTCATGAGGCATCATTGATCTGCCACAATAGATTATGAAAAATAATAAAAATAATAATAAAGAAGAAAAAGAACTTAGCCTCGCACGTGCGCGCACAATGCCATAGATTGCAACCTTTTCTACTGACATTCCTGAAAAGCATGAATTATTTCCTTTTTCTGTTTTTACTTCGTAACCGAGATTAGTTAGATGTAGTTTTGAAAAAACAATAAACTTTGACTAAATTAGATGCAATAATATTTTATAAAGTTTTTTGTGTCATATACATCGATTTAACATTAAATTCTTCAATCGAAGTGAAAACAGAAAAACAAACGTGGTGGGCGATTGTGTTAAAGTATTTGTTTTGTAAATAAATTCTGCGATGCGTAGAAATTTCCAAAAATAACTATGAAAAAACGAAAAATAAAAATGTTGTCCCTATTCCCTTCCGATTGCCCAAAGTAAGAATTATGGCAAGCAAATAAATCGCATTTTCCCTAATATGTCTGAAAATTAATATGACACATGATTGATTTTCGAAAATGTTAGACATTTGCGAAAAAAAATTAATACTAAAAGGTTTATAATTAATGACTTAAAAAAATCAACATTCAAAGAATCAAATTACATGCAATCGACTTGAGTTGTTTATAAATGTTATCTCATTGACGTAAAAAGTCATTCGTTGAAAAAAAGTATTATTGTAATAAATAATTAGCCTCTTTATGACTTTCTTCTATTCCTATTATTATTTGAAATGATTAGGTCAGCGGCTATGTTATTATTATCGTTGCATTTTAAGATTAACATTCAATTTGCTTTTCTTAATAACTTTAGTACCTATAAAAATATATTTGAAAAAAATTAATGTGTTATATATAAATGTTAAATTTATAAAATTAAAATGATTTTTATTTGTTGCACAGTGATTGCACAATTTTTTGATTCAGTGAATAGTGTAACTTTTACTATCCATAGAATTATTAAATAAAAAAAAACGCGTCTGAACGTGTGTCCTCGTCTTTAATATGCATCCAAAAATACGGACATATGTATAGATGGTAGCTAGGTTAAACAAATTGATTGTTTATATTTTGTATTGACACTGAAATAATGGTCGTAGCAAAAATCAAAAATGTGCGATAAATATATATATCTTTACCAGTTTATGACTCGTTGAGTACAAACTTTGTTTGCATGCAACACATTCAAACTATATGATAATAATTTACAAACTCTATTACCTGAAAGATAAAAAAATCTACTAAACAACATTTTTGATATTTGCTACTAAAATATAATATCTAACGTTCGCAATTACCTTAATCTTTTAATCAATCACGATTGTTTTATACTTCGTTACTCTTCATTTCGATACGAAAGCAGGAAAAACTTATATCCTATTACTTTATTCATTTCACAATCCTTAAATTCCCATAACCTTATATGAATTTTCTCAGGACAATATTCCACAAATTCTATAAATTTATTATTACTGTCTGTCGTGATTCAATGTTTCTTTATTACTATATCGATAGTTAATATCGAACTCATATAATATTCAAACAATGGAATATAATAAAATCACGAGTCACAGTTGAAACATGAAAAGAGGAAACAATCGCGCGTATAGTACTACATGATATTGTCAACTGAAAATTCAAAAAGAAAACGTTTTTATAAGCAAGTATCGCAAGCAAAATGAAATTGACACGAATGATAGATTAATTATATTATATAATTATAATACTGAATAGGTCGATTGAATGACCGTTCAATTAATTAACACCATTTAAATTGATTCCATAAATAATTATTGATAATACTATATCAAGAATATCTTTCAATAACGACGAGGATGATCAATAAATAATCGTAATATAAAAATACTATTTGTGATTATGTAAAAGCAATGACTTGCATTCAGTTCGGGTCATGCGATACATTTGAAGTTGGAATTCAAATAAAACAAGTATAAATCAAATTGAAAAAAAACATAGACTATTTTATTGTTGTCTCATCAATTCTTGCTAAGTCTAAATGCTTTTCTCATTGCTAAATTACAACGCGGTCAAATTTAATTTAAAATTTTTATTATGATTTTGCTTGTGGAAAATATACAAATTAATTTGCTAAAATTTTTCTTCGACTGCATTGGAATCCGATTTTCATTCGATAATATTTCAAAGCGAAAGAAACTTTTTTTTCATAAATTATTTACAGTTTCTTACTATAAATCAATGTGGATTAGAAGGTTTTTTAAGTTCTTTTGTTAAGTTTTATTCATTTGGAAAATCTCTTAGCCTTTCCTTGCTGGTTCATAATTCCTTATTAGTTCCAAGTTCCACTCTCTCCTCTACTGTTAACAATAATAATAATTATAAAAACGTTTGACTTTTTTTTAAATGCTTGTTGCTTGTTTTGAGCGATATAAACATTACTTTTAAATTACACGTATTTGAGTGATGGTTTTTATCATTCTACTTAACGAGTCTTTTGTAGTCTAATTGTTTGAAATGCTTGAAGAGCTTCTGCTATCGAAAAAAATATTATAAACAAATAATGCATTTCATTCAACAAGATTAAGTATGAAAGGAGTGATATAATTTTATTACTGTAATACGTTAAATTAGTGAATGGCAATAGTAAATTTTAAATTAGTCACATTTTCGTTATAATGAGTTACATTTGCTTGATATATCTCTGTGTAAATTTTAATTTAAAGGTATTCAGTCTTGATATACTTTTCAAGATTGCTGTTTACATAGATTTTGGTTATTGAAAGTACATGAAATTCGATTTGAATAAATATCCTGTCACTCATTGACTCCGTGATCCTCTATATCAATCATCGATAAACTATTGGTTAATTCCTTACTGTACTTTCATATTGTGTATCTATATACCAAAAATTCCGATACCTCATCTATAATACTCCGTTAATTTTGCGAACGTGGAGATGCTATTTATAAAGTTGTGTTAATAACTTTTATATTAATTTTCAGCTAAACTGCTTGCATAATGTAATACGAGGAAACAATAAAATAGTACCTACTTTTTACATTAGTTAGGAAAATTGACTTTTTGTGTATGTGAGATTTTTTTTAATTTACAGCAATTCATGATTTATAGGCAGACTTTTAGCGCTCCGAGGAAGACTCATTTTGACACAAAATAAAAACACAAAAAGTCTATTTTCTTTTCATAGTGTATTAAGTAACTGATGCATTCTATTAATTATTGCAGTA